CTGAAGTGTACCTGGCGTATAAGACGACCCCCCACTTGGAGGCATATTTTTCAGGGCCAAAAAATCGTCTTATACGCCGGCAAATACGGTATAGTATATAATACGTATAACATCCAAAACGTGTTAATCAATGCTATCGGTATTCTGGTCAACTGCTATTAGTAGTTAAGTGTTGGGGGAGTCGAAAGTTAAACATGGATTTTCAACTGTGCGGGGTGTCAGCACCCCTAACCCCCACTGCACATTGTTCAAGGGTCAACTGTATCTAAAGAGATAATTAGGTGGAACAGATGTTTAAGAAACAAAAGATGCGAACTTAGGATGACTAGGAGCTATCTTAAAGGTACAGGACCATGACAGCATTTAGGGGAACTCAAGTGAGATGCTCAGTGTAGGCCTTCAGTAGAACCTTTGTACTGAACCATCATTGAGTGGGAGAAATTGAGACCCCCCCCCCCAGCTGGGGCTGTGTTCATTGGGCTGCTGGAACCAGATTATCGTACCTCTTTGACGAATGGGCCTGGCTGACCCCGAACTGCATTTAAGCGAAAGCCATAGCCGTTTTCCCCTTTAACCAGCCTGCACAGTTTAGGCTTATGACCGCCTGCTTCCTCTGTAGTGTCTGGGCTTGAGGCCTCCAGAGGAGGAGTGGGAGCTGGAGCCTCCTTGACAGAACCATTAGGCAGCTCTTGACTTTGATAGTAGAGAAATGGAGAAAAATGAGCCTTTGAAAAATAAAGGGGAAAAAACATTAAGTGTAAGTGTGAGTAATTAAACTTGGTTAAATGTGCTGGTTTAATTTACAAGGCGTCATACACATCCCACTCCTCTTCCAGATAACCTCTGATTGTGGGCTGTAAAATTTCTCTAGCACCCCAACCAGAAAAGTTACAAAGGAAGATTGAGCTTGGTTATGGAGTAATGTGTATAAACACGTAAACAATCGCTCCTAGATGTAAAATAAAAGCAGTGCGGGCTGTTGTACCAGGACCCACAAGTAAGTCTAACAGAATTGCAAGTGTCGTCTGACTTGTCGGTAGTGAGCAAGCCACTGAATAACCGTAGGTAACCTCACCGTCTCCCCCTTGGGAGACGACACACAGTGAGTGACTGGCTCAGTATCTCACGTAAAGTAGGTTCACCTGGCCTTTCCCCTTCAGTAAGATGGTCTTCTAAACACTTTAGAGAAAGTGAAACACAAGACACCATTTTTATCATTATCTGAAGTACACACGGTAATTAATCAGGCGGAGCGGTGGATGGTGGCCGCAATCATATGGTCACATACGGTACTAGAAGTTAATTCCATCCTTTGCTACTTCTCCCGCTCCCCCTCCAGATCTGTTGTACTGGATTTTACTGTTTAGTCTTGCAGCCATTAGCTGACGCTTCTGTTATGCTAAACTCCTCACCATAGTTAAATACTTATAATCCATCTCAACTCCCAGACCATCCTTGAGTGATGGTCTTGAGTACGGGAGAGGCATAGAACAGGAAACATGGTGAATTTTTATTTTATTTTATTTTTTTATAGAACTAAGGGCTTAGCTGGCTGTGCGTTTTAATTGAGAAAATTAAAAGGGTAGATTTGGGTATGGTGAGGTCCCGGATCAGCAGTTAAATTGCTGCCCTCAAGTGTCTAAGACATTTGTTAGGCAATGAATAAAAAATGAAGCAATTGAAGCTGAGTGCAATGTGTGCTCTGCCCCAGAACCTACTGTTGAGCAGACAGGCTGAAAATCTGTCTTTCTAACCACAAGACCACATCTTCCTTTGTAATCAAGAGTAGGACCAGCACAGAACCTTCGAGTTACCCAGTTCAACTAACTTCAGCCCTTTCGGTGATATACTTGCCAATGTTCCACATTTCTTTCTCTCTTTAAAATAGGGGAAGTTATCAGTGATTCATTACATGCAAAAATACCTCTGACATCACTACCCAAACAAGCAAATCAACTGTATGTGATAGTAGCAGCTACTCTGGAGACAAAGTACAGTAACATACACTTAATGAGTTTTTATTCATTCTTCATTCAAACATTTGAGTATCTAGTATGTTCCCAGAACTGGTTTAGGTGTTTGTTTTATTCACTGCTAGATCTCAAAGACCCAACCCACCTATGCAACTTACTTCAGGGGGAAGTGGGAGGAAAAAGATGGGGACAGACACCTTTTTTAGATCAGGGTTCTCTCTTAAAAACCAAAACATTAGGGCCGGCCGAGTGGCTCAGTTGGTTAAGAGCTTGCTCAAGAGTGCGAGCTCTGAGCAACAGCGGTTTGATTCCCGGCCTGAGCTGAGTTGCTGCTGAGCCAACAGGTGGCAGGATGGCTCAGCAAAAAAAAAAAAAAAAACCAAAACATTAAAATTATAGTTAAATCATTCTGTCATAAGGTTAGGAGAAGTTGTAAAGGACCTGATACCAGCATCCTCTGTACAACAGCCAGAGCAGGACCTTCCGACTTCTCAATCTTTCCACCAACTGGGAGTTCACTACTCTGCAGAAATGGCTGATCATGTGCCGAGCAGCTTCAGTTGCCCTAAGCCAAAAGCCAGCTCCCCAAAGAACACCTCAAAAATAAATAAGTCTACCTCTCGCATTTAATAGCCTCTCAAATTATTACAAGCTGTTTAATAATCCTTTCTAGGCTTTTACACAGGATTGATGGAACTTAACCAGTTTATGGTTTAAAATCCAATTGTTCCCTACTGTTCATAGATCAGCTAGATCACCAAGAGTAATTCTGTCGTTAGATTTGCAAATTCTTTCAAAACCTTGAATCTAAGGACTTAAAACTCATGTACCGATCGACCGCTTGGCATTCTCTTATCACTACCACCTTGAGCTTCAGTGCGGCCTTAATGATGACTGTCATACACCTTCCAGTTTGAAGATCAAAGTGGTAACAAACAACCAAGTACAGAGAATGACCCATCCAGTCGAAACCCACCAGACTCTCTCATCAGCTGACACAATAAACGCCAGTGCGGACACAATGGGCTCAATGAATGGAGTAGCCATGGTGATAGAAACAGGCTATCCATGGACCAAACAGCACTGGCACAAAACAAAGTGGTAACTTAGCCAAAGTTCGAGAGCACAAGTGAACGGACCCAACCTTAATGCATGATGAGTATGCGGCCTTGTATTACCTACCAGCCTGTAGACGTTGTCCGTCTCTTTGTCCACCACCAGCAGCGAAGTCTGATCTCCGCCCTTTCTGATCATTTCCACCACACTGTCGTGATCGAGGGACTCCACACACTCGCCGTTGACAGCAACTACCAGGTCATTGGGCTTTAGGCCAGCCTCCTCCGCTGGACTTCCGGAATCTATGTCTTTGATGGTTTGACCTGACCCCACCCCAAAAAAATAAATAAAATTTTCAGAAAGACCCCTAAAAAACTAGGATTTCTGCTGGAGCCCAAGGCCCTGATAAAATAGATACAAAAGGCATGCTGAGTACAACCACATCCTAGGTAGCCTGTAAGCACCCTGTGCAGCCTCATTTCCTGCTCAGAGCTCACTCCAGGAATAAACCCAGCCATTAACAACAAAAGGGTCTTAAAAGAATCATGTTGTTAATAAAAGTGCCTGGGGGCCGGCTGAGTGGCTCAGTTGGTTAAGAGCTCGCTCAAGAGTTTGAGCTCTNCAGGTCGAGCTGTTGTTCACCATCTTAGCTGTAGAGGGCGCAGCATCACTGGCCCTCATGTGGGATCCGAACCGGGGCCCTGCTGCTCAGAGCTGGCATTCCAAGCCAACACCTAACCAACGCGCCACTCGGCCAGCCCCCAAAAGGCATTTTTAAGGGCATTTATTTTAGCAACCACAACATCCTTTAAAAAGTGTAATTTTAATAGGATTATCTCTCAGATACTTTAGTTGGCTCTTACATATACAAATTTATAAATCACCCTTGGTGCTCAAGGAGCCTACAGAAGAGATGTCATCATACAGAGAAATGTAGTTAAGTGGAAGCCTGAAAGAGCTCCCATGAAAAGAATCTGGCTCCTGCCTTCACTTTTCCTAAGTTAACCATAAATAAGCCATCGGCAGTAGCTGCCCCTGAGACAAATGACCACAGAAAACAAATCCCACTTGATGAGCTGGTTTCCGGAGTTCTTTTCTGAGACAGCAAATGGGTGGCAGCTCATGCCTTAGGAAAGGATCCCCATTAAATACCCAGAAACAGCCACCAGCCAAAGCCACGATGTGTCCTCCTCACATCTGTGTATCTTCAGAACTGGAGGAGGAATGCGAGGCTGTACTGTGGGCCTGTGCGAAAGAAAAGAAAGGGTCTGTAAGTGCGAACGGTGGGAGGTGGTCGGTGTGTGCCAGAGCTGATGACGGCAGTCAGGGGAGAGTCGCTCCTAGAAGCCAGGTGACCTGAGTGCCACACTTGGCTTGGTTTTCAGCCTGCTGTTCAGCACCAACAAATGTCTTAATGTCTGTATTGCTTTTCTATAAAGCTAGCATAGTACTATAATTGACTCCCTGTAGAGACATTATAGAATTCGTAAGACAACTAGAATACTTCCTTAGTTAAGCAGTCCAGAGTATGGTCTATGGCTATTGTTTATGGTCTGAATGTATCTCCCCAAAATTCGTATGTTGAAATCCTAATCCCTAAGGTGATGGTATCAGGAGACAGGGTCGTTGGGAGGTGATTAGGTCACGAGGGCAGAGCTGGGATTGGTGCCCTTATGAAAAAGGACCCCCAGAGCTTCCTAGCCCCTTCCACCATCTGAGGACAAGGTGAGAAACTGGCCATCTGCAGCCCGGAAGACCCCTCCACCACACACCAAATCTGTGGGCACCAGGACCTTGGACTTCCCAGCCTCCAGAACCGTGAGAAATAAATGTTTGTTGATTATAAGCCACCAAGTCTATGGTGTTTTGTTATAGCAGTCCAAACAGACTAAGACAGTATATATTAAGAAATAAAATTTGTTTCTTATATCACCAGTCAGTAGAATTAAATAATGTAAAGAAAAATAACATAACTTTCAGAGTCTCAGCTTTGCCATATGTTTCTTCTATGAACTTAGTAGGTCAGTTCACCTTTGGACCTCAAATTCATGTATGAAAAGAAATTGGGCAAAAATATAAAACTGAGACTTACCAAGGAATTGATCTAATCCAAATACATACAGAATATTTACTCTTCCCTAGTAATAAAACTTGAATACATGCCAGTTATTTTAAAAACAAGACTGTCTCTAACCACTGCCATTCATTTTCGTGCTTACAATGAACAAGACACCGTTCGAAGCACTAATAGTTTTAGTTAATATAATCCTGATAACAATCCTACTACAAATTATCCTTGTTTTATAGGTGAGGAAACTGAGGCACAGAGAATAAATCCATTTGCCCAAGGCAGAACCAGAATTCCTACGTTAATAGTCTGATTCAATTTCATCTGACTCAAGTTCCACTCCCTATATAATTTTGATAAACTTCTTACTTTTATTTCTTGGTTTATCAATTCTAGACAGTTACTGTCAACTCCATGCTATGAAAAATAAGGAATTTGTTGTTCTTACAATAACTGGTTATCTTTACATGTAACTTGGCAGTATTTTGGGAAATCTGTAGTAAACTTCGGCATGAGGTATCCCTCTTAGGGCTTTAGCATACTCGGGTAAGTTAGGTCACTCACTCGTTCTTTTGCTGCGTGCGAGCCATGCTCCACCTCCGCTGATGTTCCTTTTGGGGTCTCAGGGTGGGCATCCAGTGGCTCAGCCATGGAGGAAACAATGGGGATTTTCTTAGCCTGGAAATAATCATAGGCCTTCTTTCCACAGACTAAGAGAGTGACATTGTTCCCACTGCTCTGGACTCTCTCCACCACCTTGTCATAGGGCTCGTCCAGCACATTCGCCCCATTCACTTCGATGATGATGTCGTCCTCCTCCAGCCCAGCCAGCTTGGCAGGGCTGCCCTTCTGTACCTGGGAACAGACGGGCCGAGTTATCACTTCCCGGCACAGGTAAGGGAGTGTTAGACCAGCTTCCCCTCGGAGGAGAGATGAGGAGTGTGAGAATTTATTCTTCACCGTATTATTATTTTTCCTTGAGGTACAGAAGTTAAGCAGTTAAGCGCGGTGCTCTGATGCTTTTCTGCTTACGAAAGCTACAACTTCCATACTCAAATAAGATGTGTTACAGGGGTTGACTATCATATTTGTATGTCTTCTGGGGTGAAGGCATTACATTTTGTAGGTCCCCCGCATCATTCCCAATGTGAGAGCTCTAGGGACCATCTTCTCACTGGCAACCCTACAGGGTAGGGGCATTATGCCAAATGCACAGAAGCAAACCGCATTTAATCCTACGTCAGGCGCAGCTGATCTCACAGATTCATTGCACACAAATTCTCAAATATCTAACAGGTAACTTAAGTATCGTGACTCATCGCTTCCGTATCTTCCCCCTCTACTGTAACCTATCGCCAGTCATGTTTGTGACTTAGTACAGTAAAGACGTATTTCATAGTGGCATCTATGTGTGCAATGAATCTGTGAGATCAGTTGCGCCCAACGGAGGGTTAACCGCACCCCAGTCAGAGCTGATGGTGACTGTCAACTACCGTCATGTCAACTCACTTTATTTGCATTGAAAGTACAGTTGACCCTTCAACAACACAGATTTGAACTGCACAGGTTCACATATACATGGATTTTTTTCAGTAAATACTGTAAATGAATTTTCCCTTATGATTTTCTTCATAACATTTTCTTTTCTCTAGCTTACTTTATTGCAGATTACCGTATTTGCCGGCGTATAAGACGACTCGGCGTATAAGACGACCCCCTAACATTTCCACTCAAAATACAGAGTTTGTT